TCCTGTTAGAAAAACTAGCAACTTTATACTACCCTTTCAGGGTAATAATTTTAGTGAAAATGTTTTGAAGGGTTTTGTTCAAATTTAAAATAGTCAATAATTGATCAAATCTAGACATTACAATGTCTTTTTGAAATCACACTTTTATTTCAATCTCTGTATGTGAACAGACTGCAGGACAAGCTGTCAAAGAGTCAACAGACCTACTTGCTGAAACTGTTCAACGAGGTGACACAGTTTCAAGTAGTTCAACTTCACCACGAATAGAAATAACTTGGCCAACTTACACAAATCAAGCATTGTTACAAGTAAATTACATTGCTATTTTATGAAATTTTGCATAAGAACAAGTTCAAGTTTCTAATTGTTTTCATGTTTCAAAGGTAAATCTGAAACTCACTGTTAGTTTCAAGATAAATCTAATTTTTAAAAAGTAAGGTTCACTTAGTGATGATAACATTGAACAATAATAATGCTTGTGACTTGAGGCAATATCAAGGTAATCCGCACAGGATGCATGTATGCCAATAACAGACTAATCAATTGCAATTCTAGGAAGATTTAAATAAACAATACAAAATGAATTTAAAAAATTTGTTTTTCTAAATGATATAATGATTTCAATGGTTAAGATCATGAGTCAGTTGAAGCTAGACTACCATGGAAAACTTGGGAGCACTGGACAGCCGTTTCGTCCCATCGTGGGACTCTTCAGCAGTGCGCGCCACTACCTCGCCCCCTGCGAGATTCGAACCCAGGACCTACTGGTTCCGCGCGCGAGCACTTAACCACTAGACCACTGAGCCGGCATCCAACGGTGTTAATGTCTAACTTCAACTAATCCACGAAATTGAGCGACACATCCATCATTGTCTTCAGTGAGTTACTATCTCACAACAGACCTGGTTGAACTCCACTGGTCACCACTTCTCACTAGAACTCCAGGATATACCTCGTGAAGCCAGTCACAATAGGACGAAGTGGCCGTCCAGTGCTTCCAGGTTTCCCATGGTGGTCTAGTTTCAATTGACTCATGATCGTAACCATTGAAATTACTATAATATCCACAAAACCCATCTGATATATAATGACTTATTTTAATAATGTCAAATAATATCAACAATTTCACTGTGACATCTTTAAAACTAGAAATGTTAGTATTCGTCTGTTTTGATTTATGAGTTGTTGAACATCCATTTACGAAAATTATTGTAATCGTTTGTCAGCTATTTAAGCAATCGGCTTATAAAGTAAAATGATTCATTTATCCTTGATCAAAAAAATGAAAAGTGTTATAATAGTTTGTCTATGTATAATTAATTCTAGAGGTTAAGTGTTTGCACGCAAATCCAAAGGTCCTTGGGCTCTAGTTCCTCATGCGGGATCAATGGGTGTGCACTACTGAAAAGTCCCAAACTAGGACGAAACATCTGTCCAGTACTTCCACATTTTCAATAATGATCTAGCTTAAATCGACTCATGAATTCAACTATTAAAATTATTAGAATCTTCTTTTATATATTACCATCTCTGAATTAACTATTTTATGAATCCGGTGTCATCTTGTTGTGTTAATGAGGTATGGCAACTTGAACCGATGCATATATGTGCTTGGTCCTACGTTGTAGCTGACTGACTGACTGACTGAGAATCTTCACAAACCCCCATTCTTAAAATATAATATATACATATGTATTCATAATTTTTATTTCAATTAATTTTTCTAGGGTATCCATACAAAAGCACGAATTCAATCTCAGCAAATGGAATTAGAAGCATTAGAATCTCATCTTGCTAGTTTAAAACAATCATCATAATTATCTTTATAGAAATAAATTTATATTATTAGTTATAATTCACTGTACAGTAACTTTTAAAGAATCATTTCACAAATTTATTTATCAATTTTTCCATTAGCAAACAATATTCTAGTGATGTTTTATGTTTTCGACATTTTTTTTTCTTCATTTTCGTCACTTGAATTCAGATTAAAAGAAATTTACTTATTCGGTTTATTACACATACATATACATGTATGTGTGTTTTGCATGCTACTCTCTCCCTCTCTCTTTCTGTATGTTTGTGTGTGTGTATGTGTATACCTGCATACACTTATTCATTGTTTCTATGATATGCTTTTAATTTGTCGATTATTTATTCATTTCAATTTTTCTTATCTCTATTCTTAATCCCAGTGATGATTAAGAAGAGAACAATTTGATTATGATATATATGTAATACTTTATTTTATTGAATTGAACCTACAGATCTGCACGATAATAATATTAATTTAAATGCATGTAATATACCACTTCTTTGAGATTATTATATATATATATATTAAAATTGTTCATTATTGGCGTACTTGTTTTTCAATTCCCTGTTGCTGTTTTTTTTTATTATGATGCTTACTTGTTGTTGGCGCCGTCATTTCAATGCCTTATTCTTTGAATTATTTATTACATTTTCTGGATAGTATTATGGTACTTTGATATAATAAAAAAATTGGTCAGAATGTGTATTTTGTTTTGATAGCTCTAATTTACTAACACGATGAATGGTATATTTGTTTGTCAATAGATCTCTCTGCAGGATAGTAGCTATTATCCTACTGGGAATATTTCTTCATTATTGTGTATCTGATAAATGAATCGAGTCAGCCACACGTTCGAAGTAAACTGGCTTACTGTGTTGATAAATCTCGTTATCGCTTCCTTTTTTTGTGGACTGTTTAAAATAGTTAGCTTTTCTTATTTGATCTATTAAAATCAATCAACAGTGGTTAGATTTTAAGTGAAATAGTTTGGATAGTTTATGTATACTTAGTTTATGTAGATCAATACTAGTTTGATAGATCCGATTATGATCAGTCTGACCTTGTTCATTTTCCTTGTCTTGTATTCTAATGTTTATTCTATAGTTTTCCTTGTCTGGGCCTTCATTATTTGACTTTGGTTAGACTTACTTCTTTTAAACTTAATTTTACTGCTGCATGTTGCCGGACTATGGACAATAAGGTCATGTTTGACTAAATTCAAGGTTACGGCGTAGTTCAATATATGATTGTTAACCTTTGACTATGTGCTTGGAAGGATTACAGGGATCTTTGCAGATAGATATCTGGTCCCATCTTGTTGAGAATATTTTTGTTGATTCTGAGGTATCGTACTAGGATTTATGAATTATTTGTTTCGCACGTTATTTTGCTCTAGAGAAGCCTTTGGCTGTATAGCATAGGCTGTACTATTTGAGGTATTTTGATATTTTTCTTGAATTCGAACAGTCTAAATTGGACAGTTTGTGTTTTGATAAAATTTAACACGATTCACTCAAAAACTATTCGTACGCTATATAGAAGAACGTAGTTTGGCCTAATTGAATAAACTTTGGTTCATTAGTTCAGTGTTCAAACCAAATATTGAAATTTCGGCCGTTACAGAAACTATGTACCTTTGATTGAAGACTAAGATTTTGCTTGGTCAATTTAAAACACTTGGACCTTTTTATCAACGAATGCATTTTTATAAATGTACATTCACACACATTTCTAATTTTCGCTTCATCCTAGTTGTTCGATAGGACCCGCATGTATGAGAGTAATTTTCATGATTAGCCTGGATTTTATTTTATGCGGAAATAAATCTCTTTGATGCACATCTTTATTTAGATATCTTGTCAGATCTAAGATATACATTGGAAGCATAGCTAAGACGATCTAAATCATAGAACTAATTGGAATTAATTAAAAAGCGAGCTGTTTAAGTGAATGGAACTTCCAGCTCAATCAGTTTGATTCATAATTACATTATTATCTCTTTCACCCCATATTAACTGTATTTATTCTGACAATTAACCTCACAATTTCATTTAACGTATAAACTTATTCCAGTCAACGATTTTGTTTTATTTTACAATCCTAAATTCACATGCTATAATTTTCGAATGATGTATTTTCCCTAAACCCAGCCACATTTCGGATTATTAATTTAGATATAAAATTGTAGAACCTGAAGAGAATTTATTTGGAAGAATATTCTTTGTTCATATATGCGTTTTTTAATATAATGGAATTTTCTCAGAGATAAATCAGTTTCCTCATATTACAGTGGCTCAGTGGTTAGTGCATTCGTTTTTAAACCACTAAGTTTTAGGTCCAAACCCCTACCCATTTATTTCCGCAACTAATTAGTTCCACTAGTTTTTGGACTTCGAATGTTGCTCAAATACAGGTGTCTGGTAAACGAGTTAATAAAAAGTAAAATGAAGTATTGTAGCACGAGCTGATACGACATTAAGCTAAACTGGACTTTATTCTGCACAAGTGGACACGGTCGACATTGATTCGTGAATTAAGAGATTTGGGATGATCGTTTGTATATGATGTATGTTGTTAATGTGCTAAGAAAATAGGTATATTTTATGGTGGTTATCAGTGAGATCCAAGGAGTACGTTTAGGTCTGCTTGAAGCTCAATGTACTTGGATTTCAGAACAAACCAATACTCATCGTTCCAAAACCCAGAGCGTTATCTACTAGATTCCTGAGTAACGACAAACACCACGTCACAAAGTCATGATATACATATATTTGCATCTCGCGCCCACTTGATACACCTCGAACAGCGTAAAACAAGCATTTGGTTTCCCATTGTTAGATACTACAAAAACAATAGTCGACACAACTTCAGACAATATCGATGTATACGTTCCAGGAGCCTATAAGTTGGCTGAAACTAAACAATTCAGGAGATTCGTAACATACACATAGTTCCCTTTATTATCTTAAATAGAGCAAGAACAAAGATTGGTGCAGAATAACATGAATTCATTTCGAATAAAATGAATTCATGTTATTCTGCACCAATCTTTGTTCTTGCTCTATTTAAGATTCGTAACAGGCAAATTCGAATTCTCACTACCAAATTATCCGTTTTCAAAGGTTATTGCAGAGGATTTAGGTGTACATATGCGTAGATTCTCAAAGTCGAACATAATAGAAATTTATATCCCATTCGAGATAACTAGACAATCTGTACTCTGAAGACGGAAATTGCTTGTTGATCCTGTTAAACTGAAAAAAGAATATTCAAGTAATTGTTTATTACTGGAACTTGGTAGTTGTCAGAAGGTCTAGTTAATAAATCACCATTAGTTTTAAGACTTCAACGCCGAAAGTTGGTGTTCTATAAAATGATTCGTATGAGATTAACTGAACTATAATTCATTAGTCACTTGATGTTTGAATGTATTGTAAATTAGTTGTTAATAATCTAGGTTTATGGGATGATTAAATATAAAGATAAGAAGAACGATGGTAATCATAAGTCTAATTTTAATGGTTCTGTAATTGAATAATGAATCAACAAATTTATAGATCAATCTTCAGATATTCTGTTACAATTAGTAAGAAGTAAGACTAATCAACGAATAATTTTTTCGACAAATACATTGAATTCTTACAATAAATAAGTTCTAATTTCCTCCTTACCTCCATTGAAATACTGGATTTGTATCTACTTGAAAGACTTGATATAATAATTCAAATAAAAATCATGAAAACGTGACAGATACGTGTATTATATTCACATACAAAGCAAATATAAGTGAGATAAAAATGAGACCTATCAGATCTGATGACATAGTGGATACACATGAAAATGGTCTGTTAACAAAAGCTAATTCAGTTAGTTGTGCTATTCGTAAATAAAGTACTAACATTCAGTGGAATTTTTCCAGATAAAGATATTTTAACAAAATTTCATTTACAAAAGTTTGGTAAATATAACTAACTACTTCTTATCATCGGAGGAATTAAGTAGTACACATAACTCATGACTAGGATATGTGGGTAGTTTCAACTTGTATTTCTTCATTAGTGCATCTGGCACAAATCTCCCACCTGAAAATAAAATGAAAAGACTATATAAAACGTTGCATACATAGAAGAATATCTATCTGACGCTTTAAAATAAACATAGTTATCAGATATGGAAAGTTTATATGGTTAACTAAGGACAATACAAGTCAACGTTTCAGAGATCGAAGTCGATTCACATTCAACTCAATATCTTGAATTAATATAGTTCAGCTGTTTGTTGGTCTACAGACAATATGATTTCGCATTAACGTTGCATAACTAAGTCAAACAGTAATTTGATCGAAGCAACCAATTCTACATAATAAATATGACATTATTTGTTTGCTTACTAATTAACAAGTTGTCAGTAAGTTAATAAGTTAACAACGTAAATCTATATTTACCTTATCTTTATCTTTATTCTCATCCAATACGTTTCTATGGGTAGAATTTTCTTTATTTAATGTTCCATGAAAGTTTCGTATTTTTAGATTTTATTATTGACCCGAAATACTCAGATAGTGTTTTTTCTACTAGGAACACCTTAGAATTTTTCATTTTAGTTACATGATTCGAATTTATATTTTACGCATGGAGAATCCACAATTACCAAAATGATCGATACTTTCTCAGAATTAGTAACTGATCTGTCAGGACGTTATTTTGTCCTATAGATTTCTAAATGACATATACAGACAATTTGTAGTGACATCAGCTTTTGTATAGATAGTAAGTTTCGTCCTATCGTAGGACTCTTCAGCAGTGCGCGTCCACTACCTCGCCCCCTGCGAGATTCGAACCCAGGACCTACTGGTTTCGCGCGCGAGCACTTAACCACTAGACCACTGACCCGGCATCCAACAGTGTTAATGTCTAACTTCAACTAATCCACGAAATTGAGCGACACATTCACCATTGTCTTCAGTGAGTTACTATCTCACAACAGACCTGGTTGAACTCCACTGGTCACTACTTCTTTACACTTCTTTCACTAAATGTTATGGAGATTTGTCTAGGCAAATATGGTATATAACTTTTTTTAAAATATGTGTTGATCATTAAAAACAGTAGTACCACACAATCTGAGTCAGTACTTTTTAGGTTACATGATGTTCTACTCACCTTAGAAACGGAAATAGGTCAATATGATATGTAATTTTAAGATGATTTTATTTCCAAAAGATTGTGTTTATGTACTTTGTTCAATGGTTAGATATTATCAACAACAAACAATCAACAACTAGAGATACTTCCTCTAAATATACATGATTCTATTTAATAACTTGTAACTAGTAAAAACCAAGATTTGATGAGAACAAAAGTGTAAAATCAACTGTCTATACCCAATTTTGCTGAAATCATTGATTTGGGTCCGATTGACTTTAACTGCCTAATATCGAAATATAGTTCATATGAGTTTTTCTTTTTAGAAATGAATTTCATGTTGGAACTTGATTAATAAAATTTGTACAACATTAAAGACTAAATAAACATGAACTGATAGAGATTCGTAGTTTAGGCGGATGGCTTTAATGGAATTTTGCTCTCTGAACTGAATGGTTCAATCATGAAACTTTCATTATTCTTTATTCCTTTTCTATCTGAAGTTTGTGCTGATGATGTTTAAAAGAACTATGAAAGCTTCATGACTAAAACGTCCAACTCGAAGGAATGAAACTTCACCAAAAACATGACATTAATGATCACTTAGTGATAAATCAGTGTAAATATGACAGATCTACGATTTGATGAGTCATAGTTTAAATAAATTCGGTTAAAATCACATAAGGAGAATAAATTCCTTTGAGACTGAAGATAAATATGCCTAATTGACAAGTGTCGACTATTGTTAAATGTAGATTATGGAGATTCCTGTCGATAATCGCTCACTACCTTACACTTTTATTTCCTGAATAGCTAATAATACATAGAAGTCAATAATTAGATCAAATCAATAAGCCTGTAGCTCTTCCAGAGTTACTGCCGGTCCCAAGCCCGGGTAAAGGAGGAGGGTTGGGCATGGGGTTAGCGTCCCCATCCCGTAGAAAACTAACTCGCTAAAAAAACGCTTACCAGAAAAAATAATCCAAACCATTTTAACTCTGCCCTGGGAGTTAGAAGGTCTTCATTTAGAAGAATTATGACGCTTCATGGTGAAAGCCGAGTTCCTTCGGAAGCCACGAGGCCGATGCCCCTTCTAACAACCAGAGCAAAAATTTTTATAGGTACATGGAACGTTCGAACAATGTGGGAAACCGGGAAGACCAGTCAAATAGCAATGGAAATGAGGAGATACAACTTAGCAGTACTGGGAATCAGCGAAACCCACTGGACCCAAGCTGGACAGAAAAGGCTAGCTACGGGAGAGATGCTGCTATACTCCGGTCACGAAGAGGAAAATGCTCCACACACTCAGGGAGTCGCTCTTATGCTGTCCAAAGTAGCACGAAATGCACTTGTAGGATGGGAATCTCACGGATCCAGAATCATCAAAGCATCATTCAAAACAAAGAAGGAGGGGATCTTAATGAATATTATCCAATGTTATGCACCCACCAATGATAGCAACGACGACATTAAAGATCAGTTCTACGAGCGGCTGCAGTCAATCATAGAGAAGTGCCCAAGAAAGGACCTCACCATTCTGATGGGAGATCTAAATGCCAAAGTCGGAATAGACAACACCGGATATGAAGATATTATGGGACGACATGGACTGGGACAGAGAAACGAAAATGGAGAAAGATTTGCAAATCTGTGTGCATTCAACAAATTGGTCATAGGAGGCACAATATTTCCACACAAACGTATACACAAGGCTACATGGATCTCACCGGACCACACTACAGAGAACCAGATAGATCATATTTGCATCAATAAAAAATTCCGAAGGACAATGGAAGATGTGAGAACCAGGAGAGGGGCTGACGTAGCTTCAGATCACCACCTAGTTGTAGCCAATTTAAAACTGAAGCTAAAGAAGAACTGGACAATCAGCACTACAAAGGTTCAATACAGCCTTCCTTCGAGATACTGACAAACTCAATGAATTCAAGATAGCTCTCAACAACAGGTTCCAAGCCTTACAAGATCTACTGAAAGAAGAAGAAACTACTATGGAGGACAACTGGAAAGGCATCAAAGAAGCATTAACTTCAACGTGTCAAGAGGTTCTGGGCCTAAAGAAACACCATCATAAGGAATGGATCTCTATAGAAACACTGGACAAGATCAAAGAAAGGAAGAACAAGAAGGCAGCAATTAACAACAGCCGAACACGAGCAGAGAAAGTCCAAGCACAAGCTGAATACATAGAAGCAAACAAGCAAGTGAAGAGGAGCATTAGAGCCGACAAGAAGAAATACGTGGAAGAACTAGCAACGACGGCAGAAAAAGCTGCTAGAGAAGGAAATATGAAACAGCTTCACGATACAACGAAGAAACTAGCAGGGAAATACAGTAAACCAGAGAGGCCGGTCAAAGACAAAGAAGGCAAGCCAATCACCGAAATTCAACAACAGCGTAACAGATGGGTAGAATACTTCGAGGAACTCCTGAATAGGCCGGCTCCAATGAATCCACCGGACATCGAAGCAGCACACATAGATCTTCCTATAGATGTCAACCCACCAACGACGGAAGAAATTAGAATGGCCGTCAGACAAATCAAGAACGGGAAAGCAGCAGGACCCGACAACATACCAGCTGAAGCACTGAAATCAGACATCGAAGCAACCACAAGCATGCTTTACCTTCTATTCAAAAAGATTTGGGAGGAGGAACAAGTGCCGATGGACTGGAAAGAAGGACACCTCGTCAAGATTCCAAAGAAAGGAGATCTGAGCAAATGTGAAAACTACAGAGGCATTACACTACTGTCAATACCAGGGAAAGTCTTCAACAGAGTGTTGCTGAACCGGATGAAGGATGCAGTAGACGCCCAACTTCGAGATCAACAAGCTGGATTCCGTAAGGATCGGTCGTGCACAGACCAAATTGCAACACTACGGATCATCGTCGAACAATCACTGTACATCAACTTCATTGATTATGAAAAGGCATTTGACAGTGTGGATAGGAAACTTCTTCAACACTACGGAGTTCCTGAGAAGATTGTCAATATTATCCGGAACTCATACGACGGACTACAGTGCAAGGTAGTGCATGGAGGACAGCTGACAGATGCATTCCAAGTAAGGACCGGAGTCAGACAAGGCTGTTTACTCTCTCCCTTCCTCTTTCTTCTGGTGGTCGACTGGATTATGAAGACCTCGACATCTGAGAGAAAACACAGAATACAATGGACAGCTCAGAATCAATTAGACGATTTGGACTTCGCAGATGACCTAGCCCTCCTATCGCATACACATGAACAAATGCAGATGAAGACAGCCAGTGTAGCAGCAGTCTCTGCATCAGTAGGCCTCAGCATACACAAAGGGAAAACCAAAGTCCTCAAATTCAAAGCGGAGAACAGCAATCCAATCACTCTTGATGGCGAAACTCTGGAAGATGTAGAGTCCTTCACATACCTAGGAAGCATCATCGATGAACAAGGAGGTTCAGATGCAGACGTAAAGGCGAGGATTGGCAAAGCAAGGACAGCATTCCTACAATTGAAGAACATATGGAACTCAAAACAACTTTCAACCAATATCAAAGTGAGAATCTTCAATACCAACGTCAAGGCAGTTATACTGTACGGAGCTGAAACTTGGAGAACTACAACAACCACCATCAAGAAGGTACAAGTATTTATAAATAGCTGTCTTCGCAAGATACTCAACATCCATTGGCCGGATACCATCAGCAACAGCCTTTTGTGGGAGAGAACAAATCAGCTTCCAGCTGAAGAAGAAATTAGGAAAAGACGATGGAAATGGATAGGACATACATTACGCAAATCGTCAAACTGCATCACGAGGCAAGCCCTAACTTGGAATCCTGAAGGGAAGTGGAAAAGAGGAAGGCCAAAGAACACATTACGTCGAGAAATAGAATCAGATATGAAAAGGATGAATAACAACTCGAAGGAGCTAGAAAGGATTGCCCAGGACAGGGCTGGATGGAGAATGCTGGTGAGCGGCCTATGCTCCTTCACGAGGAGTAACAGGCGTAAGTAAGTATCTTCATTATTTAAAAGGAAAATTATAAAAGAAAGTATCCTTCGTTTCAATTGATCTAATAATGTAAACAGTTTCAATTTAAATATGTACAATTTTACTTTTATCAGAAGGGGTTTTGTAGAGATTTCAGTAATTTCAGTAGTTGAAATCATGAGTCAATTGAAGCTAGACCACCATGGAAAACCTGGAAGCACTGGACGGCCGTTTCGTCCTATTGTGGGACTCCTCAGCAGTGCGTACCCACGATCCCGCCCCCCAGCGAGATTCGAACTCAGGACCTATCAGTCTCACGCAGTGGTCTAGTGGTTAAGCGCACGCGCGCGAGACCAGTAGGTCGTGGGTTCGGATCTCGCGAGGCGGAATCATGGATGTGCACTGCTGAGGAGTCCCACAATAGGACGAAACGGCCGTCCAGTGCTTCCAGGTTTTCCATGGTGGTCTAGCTTCAATTGACTCATGACTTCAACTATTGAAATTATACTTTTGTTGGGAAAGTGGACAAAGGAAAAATTGATTTAATAAATAAATAAATAAAAAGAAGGTATTGAATAATTCTCAACCCAAATTCTATAAATAATAAGTTTAATTATACATGTGAATAAAATGACCAATTAAACTTTAATTGCATCATTTTAATTCATTTTTCCACTTGATAATCAGACAATTAATTATAATTTATTAATATAAATTATATGGTCACAATTACAGTACAGACAGGAAGTTGTTTCGGCATAGAATTTTTATAACCATCCTGGAGACACAGAGAGAGGGATATGAATGTTTTTCTAATAGGTAGTGATATATTTATATACTTGCAAACGAACTGATGTATACTAGACCATTTAATAAGATAAACAAACTGATTGTTTATATAGTAGACTTAATCAATATACATAAAACTATGTATACTGGATACATATACAAATGTACTTCAGATATTCAATCAATGAAGATAATTTTATGACAAAGTATACTAAATAAAAACATTATGATAAACAAGACAATTAGGAATGATTAAAAATCATAATAAACTTGTGTATATGTGTACATATTTGAATGGTTAATGTAGGCATAATAATTTCTCACTAATTCATATAGTTGTCATAGAGGATGTAATTAATTCTCTTATTTATTTATTTTAATTTTCACCGACTATTAGTATATTCCTCATATTTTCATTTTGTTTTCATGTAATAGTTATTATAATTAACACAGATGTTTGATATTCAACTTCACTTCCATTTCAATATGTTTGGACTTTTTTAGGTACAGAAGCTGGGTGATACGGGATCGAATCCGTCAGGGAGCACCAGTTCCCTCAAGATTACAGATACACCTTGCTGACGAGTTCCAAGAAGCACGAAACCCGGGTCCAGGGTTTCCTATCGACTACCTCCAACCACCATCTAATCTCAATATGTAGTGCCCGCAGTGTCGAGTCACCTAGACTAGTGGCCACATTGCAACATGGTCAATAGCATTCGATCTGCACTAAATAAGGACTTGACACACATGACACTGATCACCACCCAGTGATCAATCAATTGTGAGATTACGTAATCGGTGAAATTCTTTTAGGACAGTTATTTATTATTGGAGAAAAGAGAGATTAACTATCAGTCAGTCAGTTACAACATAGGACCAGGCACATATATGCATCGGTCCAAGTTGCCACACCGCATTAGCACAGCAAGACGAACACCGGATTCATAGAAGCAGTTACTCAATGGTGTAATATATAAAGGAAAGATTTTATTAAAGGATATAGTACAGAAAGAAAAAATTAGTTCGTAGAAAGATATGAAATAATTTTAATCTCATAGTTTAAGGGAAGACAAAGAGTGTATACACCTACGCCAAGTGGACTGAGTTATGTTGGTGGGAATAGACTACCTGGTTGAATGACATCGCTCAAAATAGTTTGCAATGGTGCAGGTACATCCACTCTTTGTATTCTCCCAAATTCTAATCTTCTGAATTCTTCATGTCTCTTTCTTTTTTCTCTTCCCAAATTTATTTCACTGGATTATACTCCTTGAATAACATCGTCAAACTCTAATCTTTCTGATTACTGATTATACTTTTACTATCTCTACCACTATGGGATTTGAATCGACAATTGTATTTGTGTGCTAATGTGGTATGGCAACTCGATCTGATGTGCATACGTACGAAGTTCTACGTTGCTACTGAGTGACACCTACGCCATTGTGATAGATTCAGAGCCATATCACCAATAGTTTTAACCATTGGTTACCATAGTTGCGCGGACCCCAATCAAGTAGTCTGCATCTACCAACATGGCTAAGACTAGAAGTTAGTGACTATACTTCTATTTATATAAATTTTTTACGAAACAATAGATCGTAAAGATTTCAGCAAAGTAAAACAAGTCAATTTATTATTAATAAGGTTGCGAAAACAATCACTTCGTAATTACTGTCTATCAAGTGTGTATCAATCACATTTTATTTTCTTCCAAGTACAGATTTCAATAAACACATTCAGAAAGTTTCATGAAGGCATTTTCTCAGATCTTCTTATGTAATTGTTTTCATAAATATATCGCAAATTCATAAGTTCAATAAGAGGGTATTTATATATCTTTGATTGGTTTATGATTATTTGATGTTATATACTAAAAGCGACATAGCTCTTTTCAATACCTCTAATTATTTCTTAATAAATATCGTCTTCCTAAGATGGTAAACAAGATGTAAACAGAAAATTTCTTTACAACTGAATGTTTAAATTTTTTTGAGTAAACTTATTTTCATATTTCATGAAAAAACTTTATTCATTGATTTCTAATTATTTTTACATTATACTGTCTACTAAAGTGTTATGATTAGATTATCATCAGAAGCAGTAGTAACTCCCTGATGACAGTGGTGGATGTGTTGTTCAATTTCGTGGATTAGTTGGAGTTAGACATTAAAATCGTTGGATGCCGGCTCAGTGGTCTAGTGGTTAAGTGCTCGCGCACGAGACCAGTAGGTCGTGGGTTCGGATCTCGCGAGGTGGGGTCGTGGATGCGCACTGCTGAAGTCCCACAGTAGGATGAAACGGCTATTCAGTGCCTTCAGGTTTTCCATGGTGGTCTAGCTTCAATTAACTCATGATCTTAACTACTGATATTAGATTATCTTTGCAATTAGTAGAATAAATAGTATTGCCTAGTTCATTTCTTTTTCTTTGAGTTTGAGCTTTTTAATTTTCATTTCAATTCTCTATTCTATATCAAACTAAATATAGGCTGTTTGCAGTTGATGAAAAATCTTTCACAGTTTACTCTGTAAAATTATTCAAAGAATTAGATGCCTCTAAATTTCAGTATAAACTGAATAGATGTGTATGAGTATTCTTAGAATCAATTTGTTTTACAGTAAAGTAGATGTTAATGATTTCTAATTAAAAATCAGCGTATAATCTGGATCTCTTGACCAGTTTTTTTCAACAAACAACTAACATACAAACTCACATGAAAAACCCATCATATATATACATATATAAAGTTAAATTACCGAGAAAATGATACTGTCCTTGAAAGAATTGAGCACATAATTTCGGTGCAGTTAATGATATTAAACAATCCGGTTTTAAATTATTTTCACTATCTAATGGTCCAGTTTCCACATTCCACCCTGTTATGGAATAAATAAATAAAATATATATAATAATAACCATTAAACAGAAATACTGAAACATTTATTTAGCGCTCCCCCCCCCACAAAACCAACATCATAGTTCTATCAAAATGATTAACAACTGTAATTTGAAATATATATTTTTTCTTCTTAGGATTAGACTGAAACACAAGGTAATACATTTAAAATAATCCTAATGATAAGTCTTGTTTTAGAGGGGAGTCATTTGTGGAAAAATATTGGAAATTGTTTTGGATTTTATGGAGTTAGGAGGGAAAAAAGATGATGAAGCTTATAGTCGTTTACTGTTTATTTGTAAAATAATCCTTCATCAATGGATAATAAAAGTGGTGGGGAGATCCAGAATATTCCTCCAAAAAAAGCCCAGAGGCTCTGAAAACGCTAGGAAACATTTTATTCAATCGGCATTGAGCAGAAGTATCTCTGAAACATCTATAAGGTGAAGAGTCACGTGTCACACCTCCGACTCAATGATTACCTATCCCACTACTATGTTTAGTAGCGCTACAGAACTTTCCAGAAGCCCAAGGTCATCTAAAATGCTACAAATACTCTAAATTTTCTGTACATAAACGAACCTTGTAGTAAAGCGTTTTTTCATATTTCGCACCTTTTCTCTTGTGTTCAAGTTGTTGTATAGATTTACCCCGGAGTTATTAAAAGAGCTTATAAAACCAATTCAAGCGTTCAGTCAGAAGATTTATTGAAAAGAAACAAAGAATAGTATAGTTTTAAAAAACTACGATATAATTATCATTATTATTATGATTATTAGCTGGTTAATTATCTACTATAAATCAAAAAATTTTCTACCCGCGGCTAACTGGCATTGTTAGTAGTTAAACAATAGACTTCTGATAAGTTTATATCACTAACTTAAGTGTGAGGTTAGTAATACGTAAAATTTTAGTTCACTGTTGTCAAAACTAGGTGCTAAGAAAAGAAAAACTAAATAGAATAGATGAATGATTCTTTGTACACATTTCATGGACGTGGGGTTTAAAGTAAAAAGAAAATAGTAGGGTATATCATAAGAATAAGATTACCAGATGAAAAGTAGCTTCAATAATTATATACATATAAGGACTTGAAGTAACCCATTATGTCATTAACTAGACAAAAAAAAACAGAATTCAATGAAGAAAATTTTCTTTTCGATAATATCATTTATTAAAGCTGGATACTTCTATTTACAATGACCTAATAAATAGATGATTTTATAGAAGAATAAAAAGAAATTACATTATAAAGTGTTTTGAGATTTTACATATTAAATGTACTTGGATCCCAGTGTTGATGCTCTCAATGGGACTTAAACCTAATACCTTTTGCTTTAAAATCCTACATACTGTTCATTAAGCCATTGAATACTGTATTCCAGTGCTAGCTGCAAGCTATCTGTCCCAAAAATCTTGTAACAAAATGACCATACAAAGCGATTCATGAAGGATTTCCCTACAGGTTGAAGGTCAACAATAACTAATTAAGATCAAGGTTGACAGAACAAGCTGTCAGTTATATATGAAGGAATTCGAATACTTTACTTCTACCTTAAGTTTATGCTGATGATATTGTTCAGAAGAATAACGAAAAAGACTCCATAATTAAAGCATTTAGTTCAAAGAATGAAACTTCACCAAGAACTATATGTTAATTAATTAGAACATTTCAGTAGGACTTAAAGCCAGGAGTTATTGTTACATACCAATGCATGGCAAATAATATTTAGAATAGAATTCAACTTCATAATAAAAATGATTTATATTTGTATAGCCATTAATGGATAAGTAATTAAATTCCCTACTTAACAGAATAGAACACAAATATATATGTAACATTTGATTACTTAATATTTTAAATTATAAAATATAATAATAATAATAATAATAATGGTATTTTACAGAAATCGATGTTATTTTACTAGTCTATCAATTCAATAATGGTGTAACTTATTTACCACGAACAAGTCTCATGTATTAAGCTTCTAATCATACTATATTTGTATGAAGGATAATGATGTTAACTAGTTGCTTAAACCAAAGTAGATACTACTGGATTCGAACTTACAATCTATTGGTTGGAAAGCTACACAGTTTCACAACTATAGATCTAATAATAAGTCTGACATATCTAAAATGTCAATAAGAGACTGATCAATTGCAATCCTAACCATCAATGGGAAGATTCAAACAAACAATACAAAAATGAATTCATACTATTTACGTGTTTTGTGAATGTAATACAATGAGAGATAATTCTGATGTCATTACTGTTTATTGTAGGGTAAAATAAAATTTGGATACATAAATTAATTAATTATGTTTAAGAATCACTGGTTTAAACTTGTGATTTTGTTTTCTCGAATATTTCCTTTTGAAATTCAAAACTATTAATGATAATAATACATTTGTGACGTTTCATAAGAGCTAGTGTTTTTCGACATTTATATACACATAAATATATAATTAGTTGTAACAATCAAAATAATAAATAATGTGACATTCAAATGGGTTTCTTCATTGTTTAAATGCATGAAAGCATAAACATGAACGAAGTTTAAAATGTGATCTGTTCAAACAAACCAAAACAAGTCATGCTTATTGTATGTCTAATAGGATATGGAGGGAGGGAGGATATAAAAAACAATGATAACAGTTTATCAGATAGTCCTGATCATAATTACATGGTACATATGATCTACTTTACGCTACATGATGGTAATAAATCTAATTTCTGGTCAATTTTTGTATATATATATACAATGAGATGTTATGACTTGTGGGGTCAACGAACTCAGTAATAAGATAACACAGTCTAACACTGGTATTGGATAATGGTTGCAGCAAATCATAGATAGATGTTAGCCAGAAACGAGGTAGTACATACAAAGAGCTTAATGTTTTCAAACGAGAAACAGCAATTCATTGACATTATGTTTTCAAATGTTCATCACTGGACTTCTATATCCATGATCATAAAACTGTCTTCAAGTCAATCAATACACAGTAAATATTTTGAAAAAATAGATATCATAACATGAACAATAGAAATTTTAAAGCAAGGAGGTAAGAAAACTAAGATGTGAAAAGAAAAACAATAAACACAAACTAGAAAAGTAGGGTGGAGGGAAGAAATTAGTGGCAAAACATATAATATATACACACACACACAAATCTGAATAAGTATTCGAATGCACTAATCACATGATGTGCACAACACTTTAACCACACAAGATACAATGTTAGGTGATATGACGTCCTATCTACAAGTAAACGGAAATAAAGCATGAATACATTTCATTACTTTTATATAAAACATACGGGGGGGGAGATAGAATTGGTATTCGATTTCTATCATCGATACATAAATTATATTGCTAGCAGTAGTTAGATTATTTCATGTTTATGTAAAACTCTCAGCTATCTATCGATCGTTAAAAGAAATGAATATTAAATTATATCTAATAAAATCAAAAAGATAGGCAAAAATTTAGGTAAGATAGTATTAATTCTTCTTATGTGAATTCAGTGATATGTTGTTATTTAAACAAGTATGAAAGTTAAGACAGACGTCAGTGACTAGAGAGGATAAATAGCTTGTTATTTAGTCATCCATTGTGACCTGTATCATTTAAGGTTAATAATCTGCCTACCAAACTAAATGACCTGACATAGTAGTTACATGATGAATAATGTTTGAAAGATAAGCTTTTTTAAGGTTGGATTAATGTAGACCTTATCAATGAAATATGAAAACTAGGCCTTAACGTTTCTTATCGATCGTCACCACTTACTAAATACTAATATGATTTAACTGAATGAAATAATCCATTAATAAGGTATGTTATAAGTGAATCAGAGGTACATTGATTACCTTCACATGTAGTATTTGCCATATGGCAAAACAATTCAGTGTGAACAGAAGATAGTTCAGAGGAAAATGTAATTCAAAAGTGAAAGTATAAATTAACTTGATGTAGCGATTTGAACCGATATGGATGTTCCATGTTTTACGTTGTTTATGACTAATTGACTGAATTCTATGAATTATGAATGAGTAATTGGGAATCACAATAACGTGTATGCTCACGGTATAACGATCAGTGCTTAATTACATTTTTAATAATTTTCGATAATCGGCCTTGAGTTTTTATTGAACCTATTCATTAGACTACAGTACCAATTATGACCTAGATGATTTTATAAACAGATATCAGTTTGGGCTTCAACAATACTTAATCCATTTTTCCAGTGGATCATAAAACGCGCCACATTCAGTACAAAACGTAAAGCGCATGTTTATATTGAAAACTCGAAGGAATCGTATCAACAAAACACATTACTTCAGCTACATACAAATGTGAATTCAGTACACCCCAAGTTATACAAGAAAGATTATTATTAGGAAATATTATGAGCAGTGACAATACTATAAATTTCTAAAAGTTTATTTTTGAGAATCAACACATATTACTACTTAATGCACAAACATTATATACAAAGATGGATAATGGCTAACAGTGGAATACAGGACGCGCGTTTCGTCCTAGTTGAGACTCGTCAGCTGGGTGTACCTGCATCTTAGGCCTGATGTTCACTCTGGGACTCGAACCCAGTACCGTTCGCTTCAAATGCCATCATGTTATCCACTTAGCTACTGATTCTTTCTTTATAATGCTTGTGAATTAAGGTACTATCGAGGCAACACGCACACATGCCAATAAGAGACTGAGCAACTGCCGTCCTAAACATCAATGGGAAGATTCAAACAAGAATACCAACTGAATTTACATACTACTACTGTTTTGGATTTGCAAATGAGATTGTGCTATTGATAAATACTACTCTCATGAAAATTTGAATATTTTGAATTATGTTACTTACAAGTAGTTAGAAAAGAAACAACATAGATAAGACTGTAAATTACAAAATGACTCAAAGTAATGATCTACGAATGACTACTTAATAACTTAGTACTACTTCAACCATTATGTATTGTTTTGATGCGAAACTTGAGACCAATAAAACAACTCAAATTTCAAAGCAGAATATCAAACTGAATTGTTTAGTGATGAAAACTTGGAAACGTTGTACAGTGTGGTTTTATATAACCGTCTTACTTTGTTATTCAGCTTGTAAAGTTGTCACATAAATTTACGTAATTCACACGGTGTTTTATTAATAGATCGATCAAGAGCTAGTCGTAAATAAGTGATAATCAACAGTGTTCCCACCTGTTTTTCGATATCAATTTTATTCATTGATCAATGAAGAACACTAAAGTATCCTAGAGATTAAATAAACTAATTTATTTATTTAGAGCTTAACACATGAAAGATTCGTTCTTTTCTTGTAACTATATGAAATGTAACTCATCTAACTTATATGTACTAACATGAGTGAATATGAACCATATATACATATATATCAGCATGATAATATGTCTTAAAAGGGCTGAGGTGATCGTAGTATAAAAACATAACACTAAAAGTATACTTACCTGATGGAACATCTATCGATATGACAGGAATTTGACATGTTGACATAATTTGTAATATACTTTTGAATTCTAGACTTACAGGCGGTTTGAAACCAAATCCAAAAAGTGCATCGATGAATAGATCATAAGATTGAGATAAGTTAACTGTCTAGTTAAAGAAAAATGTAAAAGAACAATAGAGATAAAGAAGAAACATTATGTAGATCACCATGTCTTTTGCCCCGTTTGTTATCACGTGACAAAGTCGCCAAAAGAAATACCGACTTATATGACCTTGGCACTGTGCGAAGCCAATGACGCGTTAACCAGTACGAGTAGCCTAGAGTTAACTCTGAGTCCTTTATTAGTTCTCACCTAGCTCTTCCTGTTTGGGTCCAGAACGCAATCTTCGTTTCCACTGTATGAACCATGTATTTCAGACATACACAGTTTATATACAAGCGAACCAGACCGCACCATTCCATAAAATAGAAAATAACAATCATACAAGATCAGACCGAAAGTGGCTGCAAGTGTGATATACTGTAACTAATAAATTGGGAATAACTTAAGAATAGTGAATCGTATAATAATAGTCAATAAATCAAACATAAGCTTATTATAAAAGGAATATGAATATATGTAATAATAGTTCATAAATAATTCCTAAAAGCCACCATTCATTTATTTTTCGCTAGGATATAACAATTATCCATGAACATAAATTAAATATATATTTTCTGATTAAAAATATAGTGGGATAACTAGGATTAGAAGTACCATATATAAACTAAATAGACTAAACATGGATTTTTTCAGTGTTGGAATTTTTTAGTGATAATGAGGACAATTGAAAAGTACTTTGTAGATTGTTAAAAATCTATTACTATTTCTATCAGTGACTTAAATATAATGCCCGTCATATTCGTAAAAATCATGTTTATTAGTTGTATGACAAAAAAGAGGGACATTCATACTGTCTGATATGGATATTTTGAGAGAGCTGTGCTTATAAACTGTTTAAAGTTATTTCAGATCACTGTTTTGTGTATGCTACTTATGCTGACAGATCTAAGTAGTACGTAACGCCAGTCACAAGTGGAATGCATGACAGCAGAAGATTGAGAAGACAACAGAAATGAAAGGACGATGAAGTTTGTAAGAGATAGTTGATGGAAAATGTAAAAATGACCCATTTAATGTATGGTTTTCATAATTTACAAAGATTCTGTAACTCTGAACTGAATAACGAATTGGTTTTCCCCATCTGAGTGTTCGTTCACTACACCTGTTATTCAGTTAGCAGGAAAAATATAATATCACAATTAGAAATGAAAAAGGAATGAGAAGAAATCAAACATCAAGGTATGGAGAATCAGAACTTTTTGAATACAGTGAATTAACGTCTACAATTTGCACAATACTATTTTAATGACAGCTAATCTAGAATACTAGGAAACGGAACGCCTAACCGTAAACTTTTTAAATAATTCTAACTTTTAATGATGTATATTTAGACTATGTGGTTTATTGTTAGGTCTTAAACTATTATCACTAAGTGTAGGTCGAATACAGATATATGTGATTATTGATAAATATGGTTTTGCTAGTATGATTAATATATTATGCCATCAGTGGATAATGTAGTTTATGCGCAAAATAAATAAAAATATCTACACACTCTCTGTCTTCTCTTAAACTAAGAGATTAAGATCACTTCACATCTTTCTTTCTACGAACTAATTCTTTCTTCCTATACTATATCCTTATTGCAATCTTTCTCCTATATATGACCACCTTTGACCTAACCACTCCTATGAATCCAGTGTTCATCTTGCTGTGCTAATGAGGTATGGCAACCTGGGCCGATGCATACATGTGCCTGGTCCTACGTTGTAGCTGACTGACTGACTGACTGACTACACACAAAAACCCGTCTCACTCTATAATAATCATTTCTATACTAGTGACTGGTTTTTGAGATGGACGTTTTGCAGTTCACAATTGAAAGTTGTGATCTACGAAATCAGAATATTCGGGAATGAGAAAGTGACTCAGTTACAATACTTAATCAGTATTATGCTATACGACAAATTGACTGAAATTAAAAATCCTAACCTCAGGGATTTTTATTCAGTAGTTTATATATAATGCTCAATACACAAATTAGGTTGGTATCCATGTAAGATTAACTATAGGTGAGTACCAGTTTCACAGTATCTGGGCGCCACGTTGATGTGAGACATTAAAGAGGAATAATGTATTTGTAAAATCTCAGCGAATGTATTTGAAGAAAATATATTTCCTTGAAAAAGCTTGGACCAGATTGACAGGCGAAACGTTGGATTTACTTCAAATTCATTCGCTGAAATTTTACAAGTATATTCTTCCTCTTTAAGAGACGAGTACTGCTAAGAAGTTATGAACTAGAGGGAATCATCAACTGTTTTTTTACCAGTGTCTTAGCTTATAAAAGTTTTTTTGTAGTTGAAATCAGTTCGTGATGAAAACCACTTTTAAAATATACAAAATGTTTTACACAAAAAAACCAACTTACTTCATTTGTCAAATCTGATAGAAAAGGAATGTCCATTTTTTCACACTGAATAACTAAATTTTTATACAATTGTTTGGTTGGATTACGAGGATAATGTATAGAAGGTTTGTAACCCTACAAATGACAAGATAAACACGAGAAAAGAAAAACAAACAAACTAAATTGAAGGGATATTTCCTCTATATATGAAATAGATAACCTTGATAAGCATTGTTTATCATGCGTGCAAACGAAAGAAAATCTATACAGGAGTAGTAAATATCTAAACAGAAAGGATAAGGAGAGTAGGGAAAGTGACTCCTTGAAAAAAGATCTCGCATGGGACAAAACTGCTAATAATAAATCATCATAGTGATTCAATCGGTAAAATCGATAATCGATGTTTATCATGCCAACAATGATTAACTTTCACGTATTAGTGAAAAAGTTGCAGAAAACATACAACTTTTAAAAATAAGAATCTTCATTTTAAGACTTAACACTTCAAAATAGAATGAAAGAATCAGTGAATACTGAATATGAAACTCGAAATTTCCAAATGACTTACAAAATATGTTGACTATTTCAAGTAGAAAATTAATGACTAGTAATTAAACTACTCGACTCTTAGCTGTCAATAGGTATCAAGAGTTCGAATTTCACTTTATCTAGTTTTATACAGACAACCGAGTAGTTATTGTAAAAACAGCTTGACTTTATACTAAGCAACCAATAAATGAATGAGATATTTCTTTGGTGTTATTTTGTACGAAATATTTTTATTTTATAAAAAAAAACAACTTATTGGTCATTTTTGACGATAAAATGAAACTGTTATAACTTGTGACCGCAGATTAGAGAGCAGTGACTTATCGATCGGAACAATGACGCGTGAACCCGTATGAGCAGTCCAGAGTTCTGATTGGTCCTGCTTTCCGCCTAGCCCAGCCAGTTGAGTCCAGAACACAAGTCCCAGCCTCTGCGACATGAATCATGTAATTCAAACATACTCGGTTTATATATCAATCAAGCAGACCACATCGTACCATAAAATAGAAAATAACGTTTGTACAAGATTTGGCCAACAGGAAAATGACACGTGAAATAAATATTGACCAATAGGAAAATGATGCTATTTCAAGTCCAAGGATAGCATTAGACTTAAAAGGATAATTTTTGGGATATTTTTCTGAATATCCAACAGAAACATTACACATTAATACCAGGTAATGATGTCATAGTCGTGATAAGAATAGAACTGATTTCGATTGGCTAATCTAAACTGTTTAGAGAAATTTATTTGTAAAAAGTTCAATAAAGTCAAACTTACAAACATTTTCAAATGTCGAGCACAAACTAAACCATCTCCACCATTGTTTCCTGGTCCACAAAAAACAAGTACAGAACCATTGGATTTAGGTAGCTTGTTAAGGGGATAAGCCTGTGTGGTTTAAAGGAAATTTATAATGTACTGAATAACTGGTAAATAGATAGATTACAAAAGTATGTTTTAACATGAAAGGTTGTATATATTATTCATCGATATTTTTTTCACCAATATACTGTGAACTAAATTAGTTCAAGTACAATGACGAAGGTTTATATCGAATTTTTAGATAAATCTATTAGCAAAAGGAGAGAACCTAATTGGTTAGTTCCTTAATTTTCATTAAATGATGAGTTGGCAACTTTTTTTGAGTAATCTATCTTTTAAACTATCAGGAAATAATGAATACTGAAAGCGTTATTACACGAACAATACAATGGTAAAGGTTATCTTTCATGTGTAAAAGCAATGTTATATTATTCAGTAGCTTCGATTACCACTTATGTAACTAGATACTTTCTTCATTTTGAGATTTTGATTTAATAAGAGAATCTTTTTACTCATTTCCATTTAGAGTAAAGAATCAAGAAGATTTAACAACTAGAATACATGGCTCATTGTTATGTCTACCACAATAGTATTCTGCTTATTTATTCATTTCTATGTATACTTAACAATTTTTTGAAAAGTACTTTACGAAAAAACAAGCAGATTATCTTTTTATGGTTTCCAACTCAAGATGAAGAAAACACACTGAACTATATTAGATAATAGTCACATAGAAATATATTTCAATACAAATTAGGAAATGTTTACATATCTGATAAGTTATTTGGAATATATATTTTACAAAAATAGAAAACGTTATTTATCTCTTACTGAACCAGTCAGTCAGTCAGTAACAACGTAGAACTTCGTACGTGCGTACATCAGTTCGAGTTGCCATACCACATTGGCACAGAGATGCAGTTGTCGATTCAAATCCCGGAGTGGTAGAGGTAATAAGAGTATAAGCAGTAATCGGAAAGATTAGGGTTTGGAGATGTTATTTAAAGAGTATAATCCAGTGAAATAAATTTGGGAAGAGGAAAAAAAGGACATAAAGAATTCAGAAGATTAGAATTTGGGAGAATATAAAGAGTGGATGTACCTGCGCCATTGCAAACTATTTTGAGCCATGTCATTCAAGGTCTCTAACCATCGGTTGCTATCATCTCGCGGATCCCAACCCAGGTAGTCTACACCTACCAACATGGCTCAGTTCACTTGTCAACGACTTCATGGATTTGTGCCATGTTTTGGTCTGGCTGCCCCTAGCTTTCTTCCAACCTACGTAACACGTGTCCCAGCCATCTCAACTGATGAAGTTTCACTACTTCATCAACTGATTTGCCATCCTTACCGAGTACCTGTTTCCTAACAACTGCATTACTTACTCGGTGGTTCCAGGATATAAGAGCAATGCTTCGAAGTATATCTTGGGACCACCGAGTAAGTAATGCAGTTGTTAGGAAACGGGTGTTATAAATAGAGAATATTTAAATTAAGAAAAATACTAAACAGCTTCATTTTTGTTATTATATACCTACTCTTTAAAACAAAAATGTATTTATATAAAAATGGTTCTTTGTACTGATCTATTTCACTTCAAAGACCATAGTCACATTATGATAAGGAATCTAGTGATATGATAAGATAACATGGCAATCATTTTCATACGCTAAGTTACTATTGAGTTATGATATTAACATTTTGTTCGATGATGAGAATACTTCATTTACATGATTTGTTATCACAATAGTAATGATGTTCAGAGAATTTAAAGAATAAGTGAACCATAATAAATACAGTATAAGATAAAAACATAAGCAATCACCTTATTGATAGCAACAGCACAGCTTAGACCAGCTAATTCCATCAGCTGATCAACAGAGAAAGCATATTCTGTAAATAATTCATTATCTACTTGTTGAGCTTCTACCTGACTAGATAAACAATACAAATATGAAATCAGTAAATATCTACAGTCACTCATACACAATCAACTTACAGCTTGATATAGATCTGCGTTAGCCCACGTCACATCATATCAACACGATGAGATAAAACTAACAAGAGGAATAGCGAAATAGTCGAAACGATATTTGTAAGGAAGGATTAAACATTGGACAATATAGTTCGAAAAGAACGAACGATTTCGATGGATAAAAAGTACAAAGTAATGTTGAAAGTCAATATCCACATTGGCAAATGAAGACTGATCATACATGGAAGTCTAAAGATGATCAGTAAATGAAATCCCACAATATTAACTATGAAATGATAATCAAATGAAGACGAATTCAGATTATTTGTTTGATTTTTTAGAAATTACTACAATTGAAATGTACAAAAACCAGTAATAAACCAAATAGAAAATATGTTGTGAAGCTCAATTTTAATTACATTAGTTTGTGGCTTATTGTAACCAGCATGTAATAAGTTGCGTTTTAGTAGAATAGTGTAGATTTACACTACAATATATTTGTAACCATACTTCTTGGACTTAAAAATCTGTCTTATCTACATTCTGAAAATATCGTTACTTGAATTTCTGTAACAAAAGAAATTATAGCAATATATTGAGAACCATAACCGATCTAAGTTAGAAAACTAATGAAAACTGGATAGCCGTTTCGTCCTAGTACTGGACTCCTCCGCATCAGTGTGCGTCTTCGATCCCCAGATCGGGAACTGAACCCGAGACTTTCGGTCTCGCGAGCGAAAGCTAAACGTCCAAACCACTGCACTGAGGTGCAGTAGTTTACAAATCTGACTGAAATCATTCAAACGTAGATGTGTCGTGTCTAACCCATATGGGTCATTCTAGCATGATAATACTGACTAATAATAAGATTTAGTTATTACAAATAGATTCTCATTGAATTTCTAATTTAAGTTTTTTTTAAACCTAGGATTCAATTTTGGTAGATCCTAATTAATCCGCTTTGAAACTCATTCAAACATAGTTATTGCGTATGAACGTGACTCTATCAACTTATTTACTCTGAAAATTAAGTTAAATCCTATGAATATTAGATTTATGATTTCACTGAATGATGAGTAGTAATGGTTAAAGCACTCGGTTAAAAGGTCAAACTCCACTCACTTCAGTTTGAGTAGTTAGATAGTATTGCTATCCTTTACAAAAACGATGCGCCTTAAAGTTGAGTACATGAACCTTTATTTGGTAAATGAACTACATTATTATTCCATTTGTCAGATAGGATTATCCTATGTTAATAGTTAAAATATCCTGAGAAGAATCCAGGATAAATTTTTAGATTGACTTGATACCTGAGATTAGCGAGAGAAATTGAACAAATTCCTATCAGTTCCCGACTTAGTTTATAAAAGATTTGAATTTATTCATTATTTACAATATGGAGAAGATGAACTCATAGACAATAATGAGAACTAAATAAAGCATAATTGATAACTTATACAGCATTAATGATATCAACTTCACGACCTATGTTGAATATTCATAGATTTCATGATTGAATTAGCTGGAATAAAATCAAGTATACGTATGACTACCATGGTTTAATTGTCTAATGGACGTAAAACAAGTTATACCAGATTTCCTCACTCCTATTTTTTTTTAGAAATCAAAGTTGATAGAATGCAACAAAATAACCACAGCTTTAATGTACTGAATATTTTCTTTTTATGCAGTTATATCCAAACAATGTCCTAACATGGTTAACAATATTGATTTCCTTTGAAATTATCATTGCTATAATTTTATACCATAGTATTTAAGTCCTACTATCGTATTAATGCCACCACTCTAGTTTCATTTCTTGTCTGTTATATGTTCTGTCAGCACTTTTTCGAATTAAATCCATTACATAGAGAGTTCAGCAAATAGATTATTTTAAATAAAGCAGGAAAATATCTAATTCTTATTTTGATAAGTTAAAAATAAAATTACGTTTTTTTAAACAAAAATCACTACCTTAAATAACTGACAGCCATATTGGAGAATAAATATCGGGTTCGTATACAAGGAAAATGATACTTTTGAGAAAATAACGTAAACGGTCTAATCCCAATCTAAAATGAGTTTTAGAAAATATAAACAGTTTTAAAATTATTTACTCGATAATTTTATTCCATTTTAAATAGGTAAATATTTAACGTACAATACTAGGAAGGAAGCTGCTTAATTCATCCACGTGTTATTAAGATATATTCAAGAGACAAGATATAAATTGAAGCATTAAAAGAAATGAAGCGTTGACAACAACTTCAACATATACCAGACATCTATAAATAAAATTCGACAGTTTCCACTTGAAGAGTATTGTGTTTAGAGATAAAATACACTATATGTATCCCGTACCATTTGAGACTTGTCAGTGACTCATCACTTTAGTTCAAAACACAAACAGTGGATCAGAAGTGACAACAAAAAGGTTTAAACTTCCCTCATTTTAGTTATATGCAAAACTATTGACAATGGGTGAACGTATATACGTTTTATCTTCCCTTTGGTTATATTATTTTATTTATTTGAACACATAAATATTGGTACAAGGGAGCACCAAATATATATGCGCCACACAAAACAATGACAATGAGGTGGGAAAAAAGAAGGTAAGGAGAGCATAAGGAAAAAAAGAACAATAACGACCAGATTAGTGTAAGGTAGTGTAATAATAATAATAATAATAATAATAATAATAATAATAATAATAATAATAATAATAATAATAGGGGAAACGGAAAGGTACAACCAGGAGAATTCTTTCAGTTAAAGAAGATACAACCATTTTTTATGAAGAAAGTAAAAGAAGGTTATAGCAGGATCGCCACTGGCTTCTATTCTGAGCCATATCTGATAACGTCTCTAGCCACTGTGTCGCACCATCTCTAGGACCCCAGCAAGGGAGTCATGAAGGACCAACAGAAGCCAGCCCTTTGCAGCTTTCTTTCATACCACGACACCATGTCATGCACTGACCACCTCTCCGCTTTTTCCAACCAGTCCCAGCGTCGGCAAGTAGTGCACAACGTGGTAGGTTAAGCTAAACTGAAAGGGACTTAAATGGATCATACGGTGTCACGCCCCCAGTAAACAGATAATAGTGACCGTCTGCTACAACTATGCTCAGATAACCGTCTACTTCTAACGAGCACCAATTTCAAGTACAGGGTAAACATTGTCCGGCGCGAAAACCCCCACAATCGACCCAACAATGTATTCAAATAGACCACATGGCCATCAACCATTGTTGGAAAGGCCCGACAAAGGACTGTCGCTCATTTTGGAGTGTATATTTGAACTCAGGTCATGCTCCAGTACGAGTAAGTATTTGTCAAAGTCTCACTGGATATATAAAAGTTACCAAAAGAAAACCTCCCGGAGTTAAAGTTAATGATAAGTCACGAATAAATCTTAGGAACTGAGAAAGGAGTTAATCAATCACGAAATCGATACCCACCCCAAGGTAACTTGGGGATGACATTCAAACGGCAATGACACCCACCAGTAACCGGAACTAAAAGGTTGAAAAATCAGTGGACTTCAGCAGCTTTTGCTTAAGTAACAGATGCTTAAAAACTCATTCCCTATGGTTCCGAATACTATGAGAGGAGACAGTTTAAACGTAGGCTGATAAAGGGTCTGAGCAATTATAGCGAACAGTGATTGGAAGCGAAAGCAGATAATATGAAAAAGACAGCGAAGATAGATAAGAGTAGGCAACTATCAAGGCTTTTCAAGGGAGTAGATATTATAAATGCGATTGTAAGACTATATCGGAAAAGGTGGGTCCGTTATTCACTCTTAGTCCAGGAGATTGGGCCAATGAACAGAGCACTGAGGGGAATAGCATAAATCCTGAAACTTTCAAGGATGATGACCTAGTTAACTAGGCGAAATTTCGCCAGCACAACTGAGATCTTGTCTAGAATCAGGCGACGGGACGCAACAAATTCTGATTGGTCTCCATCACCAATCATCCTAGTCTATAAGGAAGAACAAAAATGCCTAATCTCAGCATTTTTCTTGGAAATTCTGGGGAATCTTGAGGTTTTTCTTCAAGTTATGTAGAAACTTGTACTTTCGCGCAGATTCGAGGTAAAACTTGAGATTTCCCAAAATAACATGAACTTTTGGGGAAAAATCCAAACCAGGGGAGATTTTGAAGTTTTTGTCGCATTTCCCCGAAACTGATGAAATGTTCCCCGAAATTTCGGAGGACAAGAACACGTATTTGTGATAATCACATAAGGATCGTTTGGACAAATACAGAGTCTAAGGCATGATTCTGAATAATACTGCATCTAAACACATGAAAATTATTCAAGCATCGTGTCCTAACAAAGCAGAATGAAAAGCACCACAAAGTAACGTACAGTGTTGAGATAGGCGCGGTCACTAAGCCCCAGTTTCAGTTTGGAAAGGATATGAGACTGGGTAGCTTGTGTTATTCCTGGAAATGGTGGTCTTTTAGAAGATCCAAATTTCTTTTGAAAGCTTCAACAGATGGAGCTTTATTCATGTGTTGAGGTATTGAATTACATTCGTCGATGGGTTCGATAGTTAGTTAACAAGTAATTTGTTTTGGCTCGTGAATTTTTTAGAGTAACCTCTCAAATTCTCTGTTTCGGGAGGCAACGAAAATGGAGGCATATCAGATGAAAAGTGGTCATTAAGTAATTTAAAATCCATGATCAAATAACATCAGGTTCTTCTATATGACGTTAGAATAGATTTAGTTTAGTCAGTTGATCATCATACGGGAACTTTGCTATTCCAGGGATTAAATGGTTCAAATGGTTGTGGACGGAATAGAAGAAGCTTTTGCTTAACAGTCTTCCGTGTCTAGCAGCAGGGGATCCCTAAATCCTCCAGACAGGAACCTAGGTATGTTAACAATAAAAGAGGAAAAGAAATGAGTAAATCATAGTGTGATACTGTCCTTAGTCCTTAAGAATAGATCAAGTTGCCTCTTGAAGGACTCCTGGAAAGTTGCTTGGACTAGCTCGCTCGGCAGCGAATTCCAGCATTTGACAACTCTTAAGGAGTAGAAGTTGTGTCTACAGTCCGTTCTGCTATGTTGTGTCTCCAGTTTTTGGGTGTTACCTCTTAGGTTAGTGTTGGAACTAAGCTTAGTAGGTGTTTGAGAGGATGTCCAGAAGTGTTAAGGATACTATAAGCCATCAGAAGGTCACCTCTAAGACGTCTATGCTCTAGTGGGTAAAGGTTAAGTGAATGGAGGCGCTCTTCGTAAGGTTTAAATTTGAGTCCTCGAACTGATTTCGTGGCTCTCCGTTGGATACGCTCCAGGGTGTCCTTATCCTTTTGGAATGAGGGGGGAAATACTATGTTTCCGTACTCTAAATGGGGATGGGTAAAACTATTGAAGATTATATGGAAAGTTCTTCCGTCAAACTGACCAAAAATGCGCTTCAATGTTACCAGTGCAAGGTTTGCTCGGAAGGCATTTTTGGCACAGTTAGCGTAAGACTTTAAGTCGTAGGGCACCAGGACTCCTAAGTCCTTTTCGACTTAAGATACTACTAGAGAGGAGGTACCTAAGTTATAACTGTAGTTTGCGACATGTCGCAGATGGACTACTTTTTACTTTGAAGTGTTAAAGGTAAGTCCGTTATCGTCTGCCCAACTTTGAAGTCGAGTCAGATCCTCCTGAAGTGCCTGTATATCGTCTTGGTTGCATATCTCTCTCCAAAGTTTCACGTCATCAGCAAAAAGTAATAAGTCTGACGTTGCCTGTTGAGGAAGATCATTTATATAGGTCAAGAAGAGAAGAGGTCCTAGTACTGAGCCCTGGAGAACCCCACTAGGACATTCCATAGCCTGAGATAAAGTGAAATTAACCCTGACCTTAAAATGTCGATGGTGTCTGACTGTTTCTCCAACAAGTTGCCGACCTCACATTTTCGAACAATCCCAAGTCATTGATGAGGTTGAAGAACCGAGCTTTAATTGAGCTGTCGCCTCCGGAATACATGTGTTCCTCGAAGTTGACTCCAGGGAGATTAAAGTCCCCTAGAATCAGGATGTGTGTGAGACCGAGACGAGTAGAGCGGGATAGTCCTTCCAGCTTACAACTATCGTACTCGATGTCGGCAGTTGGCTTCCTGTAAATGACTCCGACTAGACACCTCGAAGTACTGGACAATCTTGCAGAGCACCATATCGATTCCTCAAGATTGTTAAACTCGGGGTTGTGAACTTGGTGCACCTCCAAGTAAGAACGTATGTAAACAGCTACTCCGCCCCCAAATCCTGATTTTCTGTCATTGCGGAACAAAGACATCCCAGGTAATGCCAACAGCCTAGTTGCTGTTCTCTGAACCTTTTCCCAAAGCTCACTGCTATTTTTTACCCAGAGGCTGGTCACTTGTATACAGTACTCAAGTTTAGGACTCACGAATGCTGTATATAAAGTCAAAATGTTTTATAATAGACAGGGTTAAAAGCTTTACGTATTGACCATAGAGTTCTGAAACCTTTGCAGGCTATTGCATGGCAGTGAGTATTACTTTTTGGGTCTTGGATAATGATGACTCGTGGGTCATTGTGTGTCTGGACAACAGTGTTATCCACTGTGTGTGCGTCTGTACCTTGTTAACCAATATGTTTCGTAGTGAACTTGGAAACGTTTATCAGCAACTGCCAAATCCTAAACCATTCAGATAGTTTTTAAAGGTCATTTTGAATCTCTTCAATTCTTATCACTCTCCGTATCTTGACATCTTCAGTATACAGTAAAACCAGTGATGATAGGAAACTAGAGAGTTCATTTACATACATTAGGAACAAACAGCAGTCCCCAAACCGTACCCTGTGGTACTTCGCTAGGCACAGTTTTACAGATAGATAACAGATTGATTAAAACGTATGCTCAGAGTATATGCGACAAAATTTACTAATTCTTTTATTAACCTGGGAAACATTTTATCGGGCCCCATCTGTCTGCCAATATCAAACTTATTTATTTCTT